TGAACAATATATGTAATTATTCATTTGATCTCAGTTGTGAAGCAGGAATTAAAAATTTGGAAAGATTATTCAATTTCTTCTTATTTCTAACAGAAAGTTAGCTAATTAGTTTAAACATAGACGGTCTAATTCTGTAATATCTGTCAATGTATTTTGTTCTTACTTCGTTGTAAAATGGACAAACAAGAATAAAATGCAATTCGTACTCTATATCGCCTAAATTACACTTTAAACATAGTCTTTCATTACGAGGTATTCTCTCATATCTGCCCCTTTCTATACAAAGGTCGTGTGAAGATAATCTAAATTTCGCAATGGTTAAAATACAAGATTCAGGAAAAGATTTACGAAGATAATACTTAAAACAATTAACCTCGGGCAGACATCTATATAAAAAAACATTTCGTAGAGTTTTCAAAAAAAATGTTCATATTTTGTATAAAAACATCACGTAGACGTAGTTTAACGTCCAATATAAATTGATTCTTACATACAACTTTCTGATCATACCAAACATATCCAAAACCTAGAGACACTAACATTGATTTAATATTACTAAGCCAATTGGCCTTTGTATTTACCTCAGACAACATATCATTATACAAGACTTTCAAAATATAATTATCTGTTTCAAGTAATTTCAACCAATACTTAATTATTCTCATNTGTTCATATTTTGTATAAAAACATCACGTAGACGTAGTTTAACGTCCAATATAAATTGATTCTTACATACAACTTTCTGATCATACCAAACATATCCAAAACCTAGAGACATTAACATTGATTTCACATTACTAAGCCAGTTGGCCTTTGTATTTACTTCAGACAACATATCATTATACAAGGCTTTCAAAATACAGTTATCTGTTTCAAGTAATTTCAACCAATACTTAATTATTCTCTTTTCCGTATTATACAAAGTGGTAATCTACCAAGTTCAGAGTACAACATATTGTTTGGAGTACACCTTCTAACATTAAGTAAGCGCTTACAAAAATCTATGTGCACTTTCTCTACGTCAGGGGCAGCATGGAATTCCCATACTTCACAGCCGTAGTTTAATACACTTGAAACATAAATATCAAATACGTATATTTTAGTTTCAATGTTAAAAATATTGTTATTACAAATATTCGTTATGCGGTATACACATTTTCGACCTTGCTGACTAATAGTATTCTGAGTTTGGGTAAACTTTCCATTATAAAACAATGTTACACCCAGATAATTGAAGGACTCAACAATTTCAATGTTTTTTCCATTGTAATACCATCTGTTAGTATTTGAAAGATTACCGCCATTACGAAAGACAACGATTTTCGTTTTGGCCACATTGACCTTTATATTCCATGTGGTACTATAGTCATACAAGGTATCAAGCATAGTCTGAAGTTCTTCTATGGACTCAGAAAACGGTCAGTATCGTCCGCATACATAATCAAAAACAGCGATATTTTATCTCTTAATTCCACACATTCAGTGGTTTTCATGATCAACTCATTTTCCAAATCATTAATATAAAGAGAAAAAAGAAGGGGAGATTACCATTCCCCTTGCATAAGCCCATTTGTGACATTGAAAAAGGTAGATAACTCCGACTCATATTTTACACAAGATCTAACAATTTCATAGATGGATACTGTACATTTTTCCAGTGACCATATTCCTTGCTAACTTATAAAACAATTTCTTACGATTAATATTGTCAAACGCTTTTTCATAGTCTATGAAACAACAATAGAGTTTTTTCTTTTGTAACAAAAATCTGTTAATTACGCCATGAAGTGTAAAAAGAGCGTCAGTTGTCCCAAAATTAGGGCGAAAACCAAACTGAGCATCTGATATAAGATTATTACTATCTGACCACTGTAACAATCTGTGATTAAGAATAGAAGTAAACAGTTTCGACAGACAACTTACTAAAGTTATGCCTCTATAGTTATTGGTATCATTGACATTACCTTTTTTATGTAGTGGAATGATAACACCACGTGACCAACACTCTGGAAATATACCTCCGGTGAAAATCAAATTAAATAATCGTTTTTACAATGGCACAAAAATATCTTTAAAATTCACAAAATATTCATTAAGTAGGCTGTCTAAGCCTGACGACTTATTCGGCTTGGATTTTTTACGACATATAAAATTTCAGTCTCTGTGATTTCATTGTCTAATTCAAAAATCTTTTTGAATTGATCATAAACATAAAATTCTTTTAGAGACAAATTTGTAACAGCATTTGCATTGCGTTTTTTGAATAAACGATAAAACTGTTTCGGGTTTGCTCTACGCAAGTAATTCATTCTATAACCTTCATGCGTCTTAAATCTTCTTTTCATCTTGCGCTCGTACATTTTAAACATACGTTTATTGTTCACCAAAACACTCCTTTTTCAGGAATACGCGCAAAATTAAAGTCAGCAAGCGCTTTCATATATCTTTTGTATAAAAACTTACAATGATTGTCAAACCAAGTCTTCAGTTTCATTTTGTTAAGAGATGTGAACGGCTCGTGAAGTTTTTTGTTAAGAGATGTGAACGACTCGTGAAGTTTTTTGTTAAGAGATGTGAACGGCTCGTGAAGTATTTTGTTAAGAGATGTGAACAGCTCGTGAAGTTTTTTGTTAAGAGATGTGAACGGCTCGTGAAGTTTTTTGTTAAGAGTTGTGAACGGCTCGTGAAGTTTTTTGATAAGGGATGTGAACGGCTCGTGAAGTTTTTAGTTAAGAGATGTGAACGGCTCGTGGAGATTTTTTTTTAGAGATGTGAACGTCTCGTGAAGTTTTTTGTTAAGAGAGGTGAACGGCTCGTGAAGTTTTTTGATAAGGGATGTGAACGGCTCGTGAAGTTTTTAGTTAAGAGATGTGAACGGCTCGTGAAGCTTTTTGTTAAGAGATGTGAACGGCTGTTGAAGTTTTTTGATAAGAGATGTGAATGGCTCGTGAAGTTTTTTGTTAGGAGATGTGAACGGCTCGTTAAGTTGTTTGTTAAGAGATGTGAACGGCTCTTGAAGTTTTTTGTTAGGAGATGTGAACGGCTCGTGAAGTTTTTTTGTTAGGAGATGTGAACGACTCGTGAAGTTTTTTGTTAAGAGATGTGAACGACTCGTGAAGTTTTTTGTTAAGAGATGTGAACGGCTCGTGAAGTTTTTTGTTAAGAGATGTGAACGACTCGTGAAGTTTTTTGTGTTCTGTTAAATGTTCAATGTGTTGATTCATTTTAACACCACGTTTTCTGAATGCCGTTTTGTACAAAAGATATTTCTGGTTTATGTAAATCCTTTTTGCAGTACGTATCTATGTATTATTCGGAATAAGATGCATCAGTGTGGTTTGAATAATAATGTCTAAGTTTGTTTTGAACACAAACAGGAATTGAAAACTTCTTTCGCGAGCTTTCGAAAACGTCTGTTTCCTTTGTCAAGCAAAGAGTGTAAATCACAGAAACAGACGTTTTGGAAAGAACGCGAAATAATTAATATAAGTTGCAATTCCTGTTTGTGTTCGAAGCAAACTTAAACTTTACTATTTATGTATTGCTCACATAAAGGACCTGCTTTTAGTTTATACGTTATTATCATAACACATGAGTTGGAAGTCATTTAATCGACAATTGCATAGACGGCAACTGTTACAATGTGCAATTGGGTTATACTTATATATTTACATTTGCATGGCATTGTCGCTATAAAGCCTCTTTGAAAGCTGTGTCGTTGATGGGACTTTAATTACCATGCATCACGAGACACAATTCTTAGCGTATTAATACAACACTGGCCGGAACTACAATATCGTCTGTTACGCTGCACTGATCAGCAGGGGTTCGTTACAAATGTCTGAAATACACGTATATTCCCTAGACCTACTGACACATATGTTACAGACTTACTGATATGAGTCACAGCACACATAAACATTTCAGACATTTGTAACGAACCTGTGCTCCGTCGCAAGATCACTCACTTCAAACGCTATCAGTTTCACGCGTCTCTCATCCACGGTTCCTCAGTTTCTGACGACATGTCAAATAACGAGGATGTTATAGAATCTCCCGACTGTTGTCAGGTTCCCATACAATCAACAAATAAATTTACGTCTGGATTCTTCACAAAATGAGCAAAGAGAAAAGTTCGAATTAACTTCCAAAAATAACTCCTTCGTGGAGGGCAAGGTCGGATTTACGGTGTTCACTGTATTTGTCCATGCGCGAAATTTGTTCCGGGGAAAAATCGAAACAATTTCAAATCTAACTTTCAGCTCAGAGTTCTATTGATAAACTTAAATCACCCTATAGACATATCATACGCAATTGTATTGATACTGAATTGTGGAATAAAATTGAAGTGTTTGTTAAAATTTCAAAGCACTACTTTGTTTGCCAATCAGCACGCGACAATACGCTGTTCAAACTATTGAACGAAATTGTGTGGACTGTCGATAAGGCGGGCATTTTTAATTTTAAATATAAATCATAAGTTAAAAAAGAACATAAGAGGCAGAGAAAACGTAAATATAAGTATTGAACTGTTTTTGTTTGGTATTTATGATCTATTTGAATGACACAGCTTTGCAAGCAAACAAATCATAATGCGCTAGCGCGTATTATGTTGTTTGCTTGCAAAGCTGTGTCATTCAAACAGATCATAAATACCATACACAAATAGTTCAATGCTTAATTATATCATTGTTATGATTACCGTCAACTATTTTATATGTCGTGTTTACTTCATTTCGCGAAACGCTCTGGCTTTTATATATAGATACATTAACGTGTATGTAATATATTATAAACATGTATTAATATTGATGTTCACTGTACATAAATGATCTTTATATACATATAAAATTAGTTGGTCGCATAAAAGATAAACTTGCAATTGATATTTTACTCGTATCTAAGGTTATCAATGGTCATAGGAACAAACATGTACGTCATCTACAATAACTATAACCGGACGTGCTGCTTTAGTAACCCTGTGTGTTTCTTTATTTCAGATTATTCAGTGTTAATTCTAATCGAGGCGGGAAAACTATCAAACACCAAAAGTTATCAGGTTTGTATCGACAAGTGTAGCCCTTTATAGATCAACACCATATATAGGCTATACATATGGTTTGTATAGACAAGTGTATCCCCGTATAGAATAACACGATATATAGGCTATACATATAGGTTTGTATAGACAAGTGTAGCCCTGTATAGATTAACACCATATATAGGCTATACCTATGGTTTGTATAGACAAGTGTATCCCCGTATAGAATAACACGATATATAGGCTATATATATATGCTTGTATAGACAAGTGTAGCCCCGTATAGATTAACCCCATATATAGGCTATACATATGGTTTGTATAGACAACTGTATCCCCGTATAGAATAACACGATATATAGGCTATATATATATGCTTGTATAGACAAGTGTAGCCCCATATAGATCAACACGATATATAGGCTATATATATAGGTTTGTATAGACAAGTGTAGCCCCATATAGATTGACACGATATATAGGCTATACATAAAGGTTTGTATAGACAAGTGTAGCCCCGTATAGATCAACACGATATATAGGCTATACATATAGGTTTGTATAGCCAAGTGTACCCCCGTATAGATCAACACGATATATAGGCTAGATATATAGGTTTGTATAGACAAGTGTAGCCCGGTATAGATTAACACCATATATAGGCTATACATATAGGTTTGTATAGCCAAGTGTACCCCCGTATAGATCAACACGATATATAGGCTAGATATATAGGTTTGTATAGACAAGTGTAGCCCGGTATAGATTAACACCATATATAGGCTATACATATAGTTTTGTATAGACAAGTGTAGCCCCATATAGATCAACACGATATATAGGCTATACATAAAGGTTTGTATAGACAAGTGTAGCCCCGTATAGATTGACACCATATATAGGCTATACATATAGGTTTGTATAGACAAATGTAGCCCCGTATAGAATAACACGATATATAGGCTATACATATAGGTTTGTATAGACAAGTGTAGCCCTGTATAGATCAACACCATATATAGGCTATATATATAGGTTTGTATAGACAAGTGTAGCCCTGTATAGATCAACACCATGTATAGGCTATACATATAGGTTTGTATAGACAAGTGTACCCCCGTATAGATTGACACCATATATAGGCTATACATATAGGTTTGTATAGACAAGTGTAGCCCTGTATAGATCAACACCATATATAGGCTATATATATAGGTTTGTATAGACAAGTGTAGCCCTTTATAGATTAACACCATATATAGGCTATACAAATAGGTTTGTATAGACAAGTGTAGCCCCGTATAGATCAACACGATATGTAGGCTATACATATAGGTTTGTATAGACAAGTGTAGCCCTGTATAGAATAACACCATATATAGGCTATTCATATAGGTTTGTATAGACAAGTGTAGCCCTGTATAGAATAACACGATATATAGGCTATACATATAGGTTTGTATAGACAAATGTAGCCCCGTATAGA